CCTGTAGTGACAAAATCAGCCTAATTTAATTTTGTTGTGTCTAGATGTTTACTGTACAGAGGTTTAAAAGCATGAACAATTCTCTCCGTATTAATTACCTGTCTCTTTAAAACAAAGGCTGTTAATGTCTAGTGAGGCTTGAACTGCAGCATATATTATTCTGCTTTTTAAAAAAAAAAAAAAACAGTTTTTATATAGAGAAGGCATTAGACCATCTAGTTTATTCAAAACTGATGCTCCCGACAACAGCACAGGCAGCCAGGAGAGTAGCAGTCCATTTGTAGACTTCAGCACGGACTATTACTGCAATGACTATACAGAAGAATAATGATTATTTTAATCAGGAGTTCCAGAATAAGGGTCTTCACGGGTAATAACATATTTCTGCACATTTTTAAAAAACTAGACAGGATCCAAAGTTTTACTGCAATGCACATTAAAAAGACTTGAAGACATGGCATCTTCATTGCTTGAAAAGAGAATACTGAACACACTGCTTTGCTCAGCCTGTTAAGAGCAGGGTGAAACATGACTATCTATTTGCTTTGTGCCAATAAGCTCCCTTGTCAAAGAATCATCAATCTGCTCTCTGAACACTGACACTTGAACAGCAAGTTTAAAAAAATCTATATGTGGCTAGTCATGTTGAGTCAGACAATGGCCCACAGACTTATATTTTTTATCTGACCTATTCTTTATACTACCTTTGGTTCACCTTCATGTTTTTACAGAGACTTATCATAAATTATCTGCTCAATTTATGTTTCACCTTATTAGTCATGAGAAGAAAATCAACAGTGAGTGGAATGCAGTCATGGAACCGGCAGTCAGTGGTGATGTTACAGAATACGTGATGGCATGACTTACATAAACAGTTTATTCATCTTCATTAAAGTTATACTGAATCAGCAGCAAGGCCCCTCTCTCAGAGGTGTAGCTCTAACTCATAGGAGTTCTGTAGTCATCCTTAAAGGCATAGCCTATGTAAATATAGGTAAGAGTTCAATACCTGAAATATTTGCTAAGAACAGTGGTCCAGTTCTGCAATACTAATTAAAGGTGGAATAGCTAGAGAAATAATTCATACTCTCTTAAAAATTCCTGGGATGGAACAGTATAAGCTACTGTTTCAGAGAGAGAGATCATGAAGTCTAAAGTATTTTCCACGATACTTAAATTTTTCCATTATCCCATTATGTTGTTACACTTTATATATCAAACTTTCTCATAAAATTTTATCCTGCACATATGCATGAAGTTCAGATAGAGCAGCTGGATTCTAAAAACAGAGCTCCATGTCATTGGCCAGCCCTACTCTGTTTCAGGGCTCCATCCCTTTGCCTCCTCGAACTTCCAGTATTAATATATACTTTCATACAGTATTTAATCACTTTGTGTCAATATTTCCATCGATCATTTAAAGACAAAATAGTTTTCCTACAATAACAGTAAGATCAATATTAACTGATCTTGTAGTGTTGTCACTAAAGTTAATTTTCTTCCATTACTAAGATTAAAGAACTGAATCCTTCTGAGGCTTCTTGTCAAGTAACAGTGCTACTTCTGCAATAACAACTCATCACTCTGTTCATAATGCTTTTAATAAGCAATCTCTTTGTCCAAAATGTTTTGTGGTGTTAGGTAAAATGAGATACAGTATTACACTGAGACCTATATAAAGAAAAATGTATGTGAATGTCTAGATATTTTTGCAGTTTTGATTTATTTTAATCTTTGCACATAAACTAAGGACTGCTACTTATCTTTTGGGATTAAACAATAGAATAACAGTACTCCTAGTCGGTCACATTATGGGTAAAGTTATGGAATTGCTACTGTACTTTGATAACATTTACACAATAAAAAAGAGTTATCATTCTACTAGCTGTTCTCAACAAGAGCTACATTTGTCTTAGTAACTGTATCATTGCAGTGGAGAAAACTATTAGGTAATGTACAATACAAAAGCATTTGATAGAAGGTAAAAATATCTCCTTTGAGCAGCTATTTGAGGAAACCACATTTTGCAGCAATCATTGCGTGTTTAATACTGGAAAGATATTTTGAAAAAAGGATGTTGACCCTCTTTCTAGTGACTAAAATTTGAAGTCCTCTGAGCAATGTCAGTATAATAATTTCCTGTTCACGTAACATGTTTGCACAACATAACATTGCTGATAACAATAACTAGTCAAGTGTATAACCCAAAGGATGTGCAGGTGTCTGGGAATTCCCATAATCCTTCCTGTCTACCGGTAAAGGGTATTTGTAGGAATAAAACAAAACAAACATCTATGGGCTAATGATGCAAAGTTTTATTCCTAGAGTTTACTACACTTCACCTTGCTGACCTTTGAACTTTACGCTTCAAGTTTCCCTATTTAAAGTCAATTATGTAGCTAGTAGTAATCCAGCTTTCTGTCAACACTTGTCTCAGAAAATAAATAACATGCCCTTTAAAAAAACTATTTAGAAATTGATTGTTTTGTGTATATAACTGTTCTAGGACAACTAGAGGCAAAAAGGTGATTCTGCTCTGACTTCTCTTTGAACCCATAGAAACCCATGGGGCAGGTAGTGGTGTGGCTGCTATGGCTGAAAATGAAGTATTTGGAAACACAGCAGGATTTACCAGCAACTCACACTCACAGCGTGCCCCCAGATATTACTCATTTGTAGTAATTTGTTTGCTCATTCTTGTGGGAAAAATTTGCATAAGATTTGGGTTACATGGAGGGATAGATCCTTCTTCTGTGCCTCACTTTCTGCTGTCAAGCACGTATCTTTAACCTTCCATGCTTCAGTCCTGCCTCTTGCTTGCTAAACTGGGAGCAGCCATGTTCATCTACTCTCCTAAAGCACTCACTCATCTGTGTATAAAAAACATGCTATCTTTGCTTTGTTTATTGCATTAATCTGATTAAATCTGCTATGCACCGTATTTAGGGTAAGGAAAAAAATGTAAACTGTATATACATTACAACTTTGATAGTAGTCATGTAGCAAGACTTCTGAAACTTTAAAACTAGTGGCCACTATATGTCAGTTTTCCTATTTCCAGCTAATTTGTTTTAAAAATTCCAAACATTCAATTTTGTATTAGGATAATAGTCACTAAACCCCAAATATTTTTATTTTAGATAATATAATCTGAATAAAAACATTGAACTGTGAAATGTTTCCCCCAGGAATCAGCTATTTGCAAAGAACTTTCAACATCCACATCACCAGGAGTCAGAGCTGGAGCCAGATTTCCTTGAATTATTTTGAAAACCATCAACACACACAGTAGTTTTGTATCTCTCCACAGAACAATGCAACTTCCATTCTCACTAAGACACAGTCTCAGAGAAGTATATACTCAATGTGTATCTGATTCTTTAAAATGAGCAGTAGACATAAGCCATGGAATTTTAACATGTGTGGTCTGCAGTACTTATCACTCTCCTTTCGAGACAGTTATGAAACCAATAGTGAGGGCCAAAGTAAACAGTGTTTCAGCCATCGTTTAACAACGTGTGTCGTGGATGTAGCCCGTTGTATGGCATCTGATCAGTTCTGTGGGAAGTGGCTGCAAGTTTTCTTATCTGTATTAATGAGCTGTACTCTGTGTTTCAGTTCTTATTGCTGTGAAATGTCCTAAAGCCTTTGTTTAAAACTAAAAGTGTAAAGATAGTTAATTTCCAAATGGTATGCTGCTAGTGTGGACAAGGCAGTGTGGTTTTTTATACCTTATTTTAAAAATTCCTCTGTTGATACGTTTGTAAATCAAGCCACTAGTCTTTCATATTGCAGCTTGCTTTTCAGGCTTTTCCATGAGAACTCAGTGCTGGTACTTTAGTATTCTACAACACTTCAGATTTCCGGAAGTATCTGTAATTTTGGTAACTGGAAGGAACTTCCGTATTGCTCAAACTCCTGTCTGATGGAAGTTTTTATAATTTAGAAATCCTCATATGCAAATCTCACTTCCTTCCCTCTAGAGATCTGTGAAGTAGGTTTTTAACAGTGGCTGGAGAGTTTTATTTTTCAGGCAGTTGTCCATTCTGCTTTAGATTCCATGCATATATATCAAGAGGCAATCAGTGCTGGGTATAATATAGAACATTTGGTGGGACGGAGGGAAAAAAACAACCTGATGCCTCCAAAGTTCCAAGGTCAAAAGCAAAAGCTTCTGCAACAGAAAAGGTAAGGAGAAGGAGAGAGGGGAGAGATGTGCCTGAGAACAATGATATTAAGTGATTGGGTCATCAGGGAGAAAACAGACATTAGGAGTGTGGACAGCAAAGTTTCTCAAACAATCTCTTGCTATTTTTTCTTTGTTCTCGTTTATAAGTAAGAATGAATATTATAGACAGAATGAATTAAAAAATCTCATGAGTCTCACTCCCAGTCATTATTTCAACAGCAGAACAGTAAGGCTTGGGGACAAAACTGAAAGCAGGTATTCAGTGTGATTCTCATCTGTCATTTCTCACTGTACTAAAGGGGAAAGAACTGTAAGGAAGAACATACACTGGTTGCTAATATTTGCTGTCCTTCTTGATGGCTCAACAAATTAATTCTCTAGCTGTCACAAATCATGCCTGAACCTCTCCAGGGACGGAAACACCTTTGTCTGACTACCCCTGTTTTCTGTGGTTTGTGCATAGGGACTTTGAGTTAGCCATACTATTAGTTACCAGTACCATCCAAACTTTGATGTTCTCAGAGTACAGACCACATAATAACAGCTGCTGAGATACTCACTGTCTGTTACAGTAATGACTGTGTATACATTTTCCTCCTAAAATGAAACTGATTAAATAATGATTTTTGTGACTGATTCAGAGTGTCTGAAAACTTTCAGGGAACAAATACCAGATGGCAGAGTCATTACTTCATTCTTCTGAAAGGAAGCAATATAATGAGGACAGAAAATACAATATGCAATACATTCTTTTTTTGTCTCTAATGTACTCCTTCTAGGGTTTATTTAGTCTTTTTTTTACCCTGTTACACCAAAGTTGGAAAAGAGAAAACAAATGAAAAGTAGATAAAGGAGGAATGAGTGATAGAAGCTGACTCACTCGGATTCACAGCCCCACCAAATGGGGCTTGCACAGTTCAGGTGGTCTGAATTGGGGTAGCTCTGTAGTTATGGCCTATTGGACAGGCAGAAAATGTCTCTGGAACTGCCAAGCTGGATTTTTTACAAGAATTAAAATTGTTGTTATAATAAGAGATCAAGTGGACAAACATACTCAGTAAAGTCTTATAAAAATAAACTTTGTGTGTATATACTTCCAGTTGAACTCTAGGCTGGCAGGAATCAGCCTGTTACTGAGAGGCACCACTGCAGGACAGCAGGAGGCAATAAGTAAATGACTGCAAAAAAGATTATTCCTTTGTCCACTTCACATATGCACAGTAGTGCATGCAGTTAGCAGAGCTGTCAGTGCTTATTAGCAAACACAGACTGCCTGCAGGCTCCTACAGGCTCAAAATTCACATTATATCCATGTCCTCTGTACTTTCTATTAGTATGTGTAGAACAGCTAAGCTGTAATACTGTAAAGCAGTAAATAACACTGTGTTTACCCAAACAATTACAACTTACTTATCTTCCCTTGAAATACCAAATAGTAGTGGTTTACATGATGGCTTTCCTCAATGCAGTCAAGCAACCACCTTACCAGAAAAGGCAGCAAACACCAATCTAGACTAAATAGTATGTTCATCCATGCAATGACGGGGCACAGCATTAAGACAAATGTTTTCCCTGCTGCAAAGATCCTTGTGAGACAGAGAAGGGGCCCCAGAATGTATCCCAGGACCTGACTTTTCCTGTCTGGAATGGAACAGAAATGTTCCTCATGCTCCAGCTCCTCCAAGCCTACTGCTTTGAAAATATGGCAACTTGTCCAAAATCTAGTAACCTTGAATATTCTAACTGAACATACATTCACAAAATGTATAAAATGAATCTGCTGTGCTAATTGTTCTGCTCTAAGGCTTTAAGGGAATGCCAAACATAAACAGTTGAGTCTGGACCAATTTTGACCAAGGTGTTCTGATCAAGGTTTCGGCACTTTTGCAGGATATGTGTTTGATAGTCAAAACGTTGCTCTGTCATTGTCCGCAGAATTAGCCTAGTAATCTTTATCTTTCCCATTCTACTATTTACTGTTACAGTGCTATTTCATTCCCAGAATTGTCAGTAAACATCTTAATCCCTCTGTCAGTTAATTGCTGACTGATTTAGGAAACGGTGTAAAAATGCCTGAAGTGAATGGGGCTGAAAATCTGTAAATAATGCAGGAAGGAGCTATGGAGTATCTTCACATTACAAAATATTTACTTAACAATCATCTTGAAAGTGTATTCTTTAGGAAACAGCTACTCCAAACAGCCTTCCCTGGTCATGGCTTAAAATTAAAACAAAACAAAGTAAAACCATAACAGTGGAAACAAGATGTGATTAACTCTCCTTCATTTATACTATACAGGGTCCAGCCTTGCTCAATTTATTGCAAGTGTTTATCCCTCTGGAAAGATGGACTTGGCATAATTGCCAAGAATAACAACTTGATGAATGATGATTAGCAGTAAATACAAAATGTTTATCTCATGTTATGTATGGAGCCCTGGAGAAGTCATGACAATACTGAGTCGTTGACTTGATTAACTTAGACACAGAAGATGTCTCGGATGGAGGAGGTGGTGCTGTGGAAAAGATGAAATAGCAAACATAAGATGCAGGCTCTCTTCAGACATACACTAAGGATGATCACAACCATTACCTGCTTTGCCATTTGCAGGACATTGCTATCTGCACACACTGTGGGAAGCGAGGCTTGAGGAGCCACATGTAAGTAATGCTGCCTTCTGAGAAACTGTATTTATCCTGCAAAGACAAAAATGTCTTTCCAAAGTATCAAGACATTTTTTTTAAGTCAGTCCTGATGGCCCTTCAGATGCTGCATAGTATGCAATGTCAAATTTACCTCCGGCGTCTGAGCCAGTGCTGTTTTCTGCAGGATGCAGCTGGTGAAACTTGCAAATGATGATGCCATTTGACATTTTTGTGTGATGAATTTTAAGAATTTTTTTACTAGAAATGTTTTACTAGACAATGTAGAGAATGGGGACATGAAATTCCTCAAACTCCATCTCCCTGAAGACACTGAAAGGAATACTGTTTCTTTCTGAATCAATTTGAAATGTAAGCAAATGGATATTAAATGTTTTAGAATAATTATTACTTCAATATGAGGGTTTTTTTTTCTGATGATGACTAAGTGTGGCATTTTGGCATTCTGGTTCTTATTTTTCTTCTGAGCTCTATGAAAATGTCAATATTTCACTTGTATAAATATATAATATATGTTTTAATGATGGTGTCCTCCATTCTGATTTTTGCATTACTAGGTGAGTTGACATGGATCTACATTGTATTAATAAATTTGTGGTCAAAGTACTTTAGGAATTAAACATTCATTAAATACTTCTATTGATACAAAAATGTTCTCAATGCACTAATGAAATAAGTAAAATTGAGATTTTCACTCCAGATATGTTTCTGTAAAATAAAACTATATTATTTACTCTCTCTCAAAGTCTGTGTAGTCTGAAACTTAACCGAAATTCCCTTGTGCCAAATGAGTCTCAGTTTGAAGAAAATTTGGGTTTGCATTTGAGTTTTAAGATTCTGACTGTAGGTATTTATTAAGAAGTATCCAGACACCACTGGAACTGCCTTGCAGAGCCTAATAGTTGATTTGACAATCCTCAATAGTAATTTAAAGTAACAAAGGGACATGTCAAAGCAAGATCAGAAGAAAAGGTGTTTGCTTTTCTAGTATATGTCAGAGACCCTCCCACCTGAAATAAAATGTGGTTTGTTTTCTTCTGATGATCAAAAATAATGCTTAGACAGTATATGAGAACTCTCTTGGTTATGATGTCAGATCTGAAACTAGAAAGGAGTTTATGCTTCACACTTACACTTAATAATCAGACAGGAAAAAAAAAAGAAAGAAAATTAGGTATAAGTATGTAAAATTTACTTAATGACATAATGACAAGAAGAAATTCAGAGAGAGAAATTTCTTTTTAAGAATACTTGTAGTAATGACAACCACAGTACTCAGTGCACTCAGTCTAAGGCTAAGAAGGCCATAAAAAGTGCAATATAGAAAGCACTGAATTATGCAAGTGAGCTACAGAAGGTAGACAGTGAGCCACAACAGGTCAGTGCAGACACCCGTCATCCCAGGAACCATTTGATACCAGAAATCTTGTGCTGTATTTCATTTCATGCCTACATGGCAGAACAAATAGATTACTGCACCTAGTAAAGCAGAAACCCACTGATCATCCAAAGAGCACAAACCACAAATTAGCGAGGTTTGGGCATTGTCTGTGTTCAATTCTATATGTGCCACCAAGCAGTCATGACATAGGACAGTGGGACTGAGCTCAAAGCCGAAAGGGAGACAGGAGACACAGAGTCCTGGGAGCAGGTGTGGTGCTGGGGGGTGCAGCACAGAGCTCCAGGGACCTGGACTGAGAGGTGGTAGGACAGGCAGGGCAGCATCGAGGAGCTGTGGCCTCCTGCTGTTTTGGAACCAAAGTAAACATGGTGGAGTAAAGCTTAGGGGCTGGGAGGATGATTGGAACCAGGTGTGGTGAGAAGGGAGCTGGAAAGGCAGGGTTCCAGAGGCAAGGCAGGCACGAAGGAGCGAGACCTGGGGCAAGGGAGGAACATGAGAATGAACCTTGAGCATAATGAAGAGGTGCAGCTCATGGCACCTCTTCAGATGTGGGGCAGGCACAGAGGTGTGAGGCTTGGGGCTGAGGAGGGTCACCAATGGACCAGGCTAAGGTTGGGCCAGAAATACAATGAGTCCCTGGCATGGCTACAGAGCAGACAGACTCTGGCAGAGCTTGTGTCTCATGGGTGCCTGCTGAGCCCCCGGGTCCCAGGGGATGGCTGCCAGGCCCCCCCAAATGCTGATGACCTGGGACAGGGCAGGCACAGGTGTGGCAACCAGGGTGGAGTGAGAACAGGGAACAGCACAGCGGAGAGGCTAGGGAGTGTCGAAATGTCCAGACCTTGGTTCTGTGCCCAGACAACCATAATGAGGAGGGAGAAAAAGAAATCACATACAGCAAGTGGCAACATGCTCTGTCCCATGATCCGCCCTGGAAACACTTGGCAAAAAATGGGTTGCTGTCTGGAGTGATTTGAGTCAAGTGGCAGCAATGTGCCTGAGAGGTCAAAAACTCTCTTCAGTGCACCACTGTGCAAGGCAGGAGACTGCAGCCTGATGATCTATTTTTCTTTGTGGCAAAGTTGATTGAACAGTTTGTCATTCTTTCCTTTTCCACCCTCTCCATCCACTTAGCTGAAGAGTTACCTTTATTATCTCCTCTGACATGGGACAAATCACTTTTCTAAATTATTTTAAACTTCAGAAGTGAAAGAGTTCATGACATGGTTATTGTTGTTGTTATTATTATTATCCTTTTCTTTCTCCTAAATTTGTCCTTTCCCCAATTTAAAAAATAAACATGAATTATATACTTCCCATGGCCAGCTAAAACTGGACATCTGAAAATCCCAAAGAAATGAAGAAAGTTGACTCTTATATGTAAAACTTGCTGAGTAATGCTACCCCTTAAAAAAAATTCTAACTCTTGTAAACTATTCGCTATTCTTTCAAACCACATCCTTTAGAAACAGATCTTACTACTCTACGTTGCATAATGTCTGTGGCAGTCATGCTCTTTATCAGTTTTATTAGCACTTAATAACTACACAAATATTTTCCAGTTCTCTTGCTTGTTGTGTCTCTGTATGGTTATACTAAATGCTGTGTCAGAAATTGCTATGAATAGGACTGTTACATTCCTTAGCAATGAGCAATAATCTGCCTTTAGAAAGAAGAGGCATAATTTGAAAATGAGCTTTTTTTCCCCTGGGTGGTGCACGTATATTTACATGTATGTGTATGTATGTGACAAGCATATGTATCCATATGTATATAGCAATACATACATATACTGTGAGACAAAATACAGTATTTCTGAATGTAACAGCTCATATATCCTACAATATAAATAGAATACATTACGTGTAAAAATGGTACAACCAAGCTGCTTTAGAGACCCATTTTAGAGTTTAATGCCTACTGGTAATAAGACAGAAATAAATACCAAAATAGTTAATTTTGTGTTATAGAAAACTTAGTACAGAAAAAAACAATGAAATCAAAAGGGAGGAGCTGCTCCCTATCTACCTTATTAAAAGCTTAACATATCTTAATTCTGCATTCATTGTGAATCCTAAATTCCTATAAAAGTTGATAAAGAAAAAATAAAGTGAAATTTGGTGTTTCAAAAATCTGTTCACACAGGTTTGTGAATGAATATTGACACAAGTAAAGCAGCTATTTTAGGACACTAGAACGGAGAAATGAAAGTTTGTTTACCTCAGAAACAGATCTTAGTGTAACAATAAGAATTTGCACAATCAGATGATCCCCCAGGTCTTATTTCTTTTGCTGGTTAAACAGTTCCATGACCAAAGGTGTCATGGAAACACAGAGAGATGTGGAAGCTATGATAGTATACTATCTAGTATATAACACCTAAATACACTGGAGGTGGTTTTACAAAAATATGAACTTAATTTTCTACCATTTATCAGAAAATGCAGTGAAACATACAGCATTAAAATATAAAACAGCAGCTAAGTGGGATGTATTCAGCTGTGACAATAAGAGAGCACACTTTTCTATTTTAATAAAGTACCTTTTGAAGTCATATAACCTTTAGGCATTGTCTCTTACATAAGAGAAACTTTGTCTAATCTCTACATCAACATATATTTGTTGATTTAAATCCCTTTGCCAAAGGCCTTTCTCCACTGACCCAGGAGTTTTGCTTATTATGCACATTACTTTACGCCACTTGCTTTGATGTGTCACTACAGCCAATCAAATACTATTACCACTTCATGGGACATTTATTTTACAAAACTTTCAGAAAAGATCATGGTTCTCACAACTACATTTGAGCAGATCTAACATTGAAAAGATATGCCCTATCCTTACAGAAAATATAAATATATATATGTTTATAAATATAAATAAATGCACTATAGCTCAGTTCAGCAGAACTGACAGATAAGATGTGCAGATGGATTTGACCAAAGCGCTTGATTCCCTGTGACCCAGTTTCCTTTTCTGAGAATGAAAGGCCTCCACTTCCCTTTTGTGGTGTTTTTCAGATTAAAAAAAATAATATTGTTGTTAGTATTAGTACTTTGGTTTGCTTTCTCCAAAATACCTTGAAATGTAAGAACAAATATAAACACATTCTCCTTGAGATTGGTTTAGTTGTAGGGAAAGAATACTAAATACCCTTACATCTCATTGTTTCCTATTACACACTACCACAGTGAAGAAATATTTTTTGAAATATGATCAGTAATCACTACAGTGCTGAACTATTGCCAGGTAATTAGCTTGGGTTCAGAGGAAGAGATAGCTAAAGAAGTTAAAACTTGGCATTGGTTTCAAATGAAGAGAATCTATTTAACTGTATCTTTAAACTCTGGGAACCTACCAAGATTTCAAAATCGCGATGGTGACTTTGTGAGAAGTGATTATCCCCACCAAAGCATTTCTGACTATCTGCTTCTACTTTTGATAGAAATAAGCACAGTATTTCTCAAGGAATTTCAATGCCTTTGGTTTTGATGCTGGACAGAAGTCTTAAGTCTCTGGATCAGGAGTCTATTTGATCCTTTTTGTAGCATATGCAAATACGGTATGAGATAGTACAACTTAAATAATATTGTGACCAAGATTTTCACCTTTGAGAACTTGATTAAAACCTGGCTTGGATCGCATAAACAATCAGTTTTAAATTTAACACGGGAAGAACATTTGTGTTTAGCAAATAATATAGTGCCCAGAAAATGGAAGCAAAAAGATAGAGAACACTAAATGCAACTACCAGGTACTCAGTTTGGCCAACAACACTACAAATATGGACACACATTTTGCACAGTCATGGCCTCTTAAAATTAAGACTGTAACTTTTCATGGACTCGTTTTCTAAGCTACGAAATAATTTTTTAAGCTATGTGGTTTAGTAATGATAGTGTAAGATACGTGTCTGTTTGCCTGATGATGCAAACCATAAAGAATGCATGGGGTTCATTCTCTTTGTTAATTTCTGAGCATTCTTTCAGGTGGTGTTTCAGGCTATCTACGTGCTAGACATTTTGTAGCCTGACTACTGCTTACAGGATGTATGTCTTTATGCAGTATTGTGACATTCAGAATCATCCAGCACATTTTTGCCAATGAAGATGTCATAGATTCAGAGAACTCCCAGCTCAGAGATTTTCTCTGAGAAAACTTAGTCTTGTTGACTTTGAAGAGGGCTTTTGGCATAGAATTTGCTGGTGGGAATTATGTTGACTTCTCCTGAAGTGGCATCTGTTAAGTATAAACATTTATCCACATGTTCAGGCTACATTTTGACAGCTCTGCTTATATAGTGGTTTAAATGTGTGTCTTCATAATTAAACTGTGTATCCAGACTCTCTGAACATGAGTCTGTGCTCACACATGGGCTCTGGGTGAACATGCAAGCATTGGAAAGGGACTATTGTGCAGCCCTTTGTGTAAGTGACACAGACATATCTGTGCCTGCTCATGCCCAGTCTGCCACTGCACAGCCCATCACACTTCAGAGCAATATCAGGTGCCAGCCAGGTTGCTATTCTGTTCCATGACTTAGTGGTTCAATAGAAGTGCCTTACCAGAAATGGATGTTACCAAGCCTATCTAGAGCACATCAGGCTCACAGCTCACTTGGCCTTGGGACTCGTGCTTCCTTTGGCAGAATAAAGGTAGGCTGCCTAAGAAAAGAGGGTTAGAGGGTGTTTTATACCTGTTTCCAAATAAATAAAGGAGGGATCTTTCTGTATAAATACTTTGCAACATTTTCAATAGATTTTGGTTTGAAATTTCCAAATGCTTTGGAAGAACCAGAAATTCAGTATTTAATGTCTTCCTGTAGGGTCTTGGAACAGACTGCTGGAGTGGGAGGCCTCTGGCAGAGTTCTGGGTACACAGGAATCACACATCAGGAGCAAAGTTCCTTTGAGTTTGGAAAGATTTCATCCGTATATTTGACTTGAAAAAAACATCTGTCTTCATCCATTTCCAGCATATTTATTTAATTTGAGACAGATGACTCTCATTAGCCTATTGTTAGGGCTTGTTCCCCTGGGGCAGCGTCGTGCTCTCCACTGCTGGCTGTTGCTTTTTCAGTTTCTGAATAAGGAGCTTTATGACTTCCTCCTTAGAACAGACACAAGCATAACAGGTCAGAAGGCAGACCATTTTTTTCAGCAGTAGAGTTTATCAGTCCACCTACATATTTCCAAGTCTGTATTTGGATAGCATATTTTCAGAAATTAAAAAAAAAAACCATCACTGGATGCCAAACCCCTTATTTTTCAAAATAGTTTCTACTAGTGCACTATCTCCTTATTACTTATCTGGTTTCTGTTTGCAATAAAGCTGCAATAAATCAGCACATTCCTGGTATTCACTCAGTCTACCTACTGACAATTATGGTCAGACCAACAGTGAATAGGAAAATGCAGTGTTTCTAAGCTGGGTTTCTAAGAAACTAACAGGCTGAAGTGCTGGCCCTATAGCTGGCAAAAGAAGAGATCAAATTGCTTTGTTCAGTTTTCTCTGAACCAGACATTTACTGCACATATTAGGGGAAACACATTCTGCTGTAATAACTTGTCCATAATTAAGTTTTTTCTTTCACCAGTGTGGGAAAAGAAACATATTCAGCTGGCCTCACTGGTGTCCAAGTCTGACTATTCATGAGTGTGACTATTTGATACAAGCAAGTCATTAGACTTACTTTTTAGAAAAAAACAAACTAGAATTTTGTGTGCTAGGGAATAGAAAAAGTTATTAAGTGTCTCATCTGTAGCTTAAAATCTATGCCAAGAAGATGACTGGGAAGTTCTTAAATTAAAATTCATATTCTACAGAAAGATCCCTTTGTATCAAAAAATATCTGGTGTTTGGTTTTCGCTAGTTATACATTTTCAATTCACAGACCAGCCAGTTTGTTTGCAGAGATTAAAAGACTATTATTTTTTAAATTTAGAATCTTTCACCGCATTGCTCAGTCCTCAAATGCTTTATATTTCTCTGCTCCATAAATCTGGAAATGATTGATACAGAAGTGGGAGGCTATGGAAAAGGAAGAACATCTGACTCACACAGAAATCGTGGCCAAACCACTCTGCAAGGAGGAGGTACAATGTCCTGGGAAAAATGGAAACTAGCTGTTGGAAACAAGAAACACCAACTGTGTTCAATAGGTCTGTGTGAATCTGTGTTTTTGGTGTATGGCTCTAAACATGTACCTACCTACACTCATTTAAAATCAATGTGAAAGACACTGACACAAGTAATGACTGAATTAATAAAACCAATTAAATTAAATGCAAACTTACTAGAGTCTTTCTGTGTTTGAAAGAATAGTTTGGATATTTATATATTAAATTGTGTGTATATCTGTAAATATTGATAAGACTGATAATTACATAAGTAAAACAGCAGTTTTCTTCTGACTGAAAATCCATTTTTATGCTCAAAAGTGGTGCAATCAGTTGTTTAATTAAAAGTCTGTGCTCAAAGATAACTCTGTTTTGCAAAAGAAGAAGCTCCTTGATTTTTTGATCTTAGATGCTTAAGATTATTCCTTTTTTTCAGGCAGTGGGCTAAACCACTTCATTGTTTCTGATTTGATTAGTAATAGGGGCAGACAAGTTTTCTGTTGGAGCTGTGACAAACATTGCTCGGGCTGGGTTACCTGTATGTAATGGAAAACATGAACAACACAGACAATTGTGGGATAATATGGATCCAGAAGATTCAGTAAAAGGGGAAGGAGTAGCAAAACCAACCCTATAGCATATTCTGCTGAAGCAACAGCTGCAACAATTAATAACAAATCCTATGAATAATTATTAAACCCCATTATGGGGTATAATAATTATAATAATTATAACAATGCATCTTGTAAGGGTCAAACCCAAATGTTGAACCCTTCCTGGTACAGTTTGGCTTAGTTTATTTTACGTGTTGTTGGATAATATGAAGACTTAGCAGTTTCAAGAAGCACATGGATGAACAGAGAGGTCTTCTTATTTTGTATTGTATTCAGGAGGTAACAAGAGCAGAGGCTGCCCATTTGTGTGGTGCCTCAGTCTGTATTCAGAACCTAGGGAAGATGCACCAGATAATGCAGTTTGTCATGTCCATGTACATATTTGGGCTGCCTCTGTGATGATGTACATTTCTAGCCTGTGCACAGGAAGACAAGGAAGATGTTAACTGATACTAAGCAACTGTGGTACCTAGAAATATAGACCTAAGTTTGGGCTGCATGGGCCTGGCTCCTGAAAGAGTCTTAGAACATTTAATGGAAAAATACTGTCCTTCTGACACTCACTTGTTGATCGTCAGCCAATATCCTGCTGAAAACAGTGTTGAGACAGCAGGGAGATGTCTGTAGCCCAAAGGAACCTGAGGGGGGAACAAAAGTGCCT